TACACAGCCACTATACACATACACACACACCACCATACAATACACACAGCCACCATACACATACACAGCCACCATACACACACATACACAGCCACCATACACATACACAGCCACCACATACATACACACATATACACAGCCACATATACATATACACAGCCTCTATACACATACACAGCCACCATACACATACACAGCCACTATACACATACACACACACCACATATACACATACACATACACAGCCACCACATACACACATACACAGCCACTATACACATACACAGCCACACCATACACATACATACACACCACCATACATACACACACACAGCCCACTACACATACACAGCCACTATACACATACACAGCCACACATACACATACACACACACACAGCACCACACACACACACACACACACACACATACACATACACAGCCACCACACATACACATACACACACACCACACACACACATACATCTACTATACACATACACAGCCACTATACACATACACAGCCACCACCATACACATACACAGCCACCACCATACACATACACACCACCCACCACACATACACATACACAGCCACATACATACACATACACAGCCACCATACACATACACAGCCACCATACACATACACATACCACCACCATACACATACACAGCCTCTACACATACACAGCCACTACATACACATACACAGCCACATACACATACATACACAGCCACCACTATACACATACACAGCCACCACCATACACACATACACAGCCACCATACACATACACATACACACCATACACATACACAGCCACACATACACACACCATACACAGCCACCCACCATACACATACACAGCCATATACACATACACAGCCACATACACACATACACAGCCACCATACACATACACAGCCACTCTATACACACACATACATAGCCATAACCATACACACATACACAGCCACACATACACATACACATACATACAGCCACCATACACATACACATACACACTATACACACATACATGCCACTATACACATACACAGCCACCACTACACATACACATACACAGCCTCTATACACATACACAGCCACCATACATACACATACACACACACACACATACACATACACAGCCACCACCATACACATACACAGCCACCATACACATACACACAGCCACTCACTATACACATACACAGCCACTATACATACATACACAGCCACCATACACATACACAGCCACCACACATACACATACACAGCCACCTTATACACATACACAGCCACCATACACACACACACACAGCCACCATACACATACACAGCCACACATACACATACACATACACATACACACCACCATACACATACACAGCCACCATACACACATACACAGCCACCACCATACACACACACAGCCACTATACACATACACACACATACCACATACACACCACATACACATACACAGCCACCATACACACATACACAGCACACCACACATACACATACACAGCCACACCACCATACACATACACAGCCACCATACACATACACACATACACAGCCACCACCTATACACATACACAGCCACACCATACATACACATACACAGCCACCATACACATACACAGCCACTATACACATACACAGCCACACACATACACATACACATACACAGCCACCATATACACATACACAGCCACCACCATATACACATACAGCCACACACACCATACACATACACAGCCACTATACACACACACACACACCATACACATACACATATACACATACATACACACAGCCACCATACACATACACAGCCACTATACACATACACAGCCACCACATACACATACACAGCCACCACCATACACATACACAGCCACCATACACATATACACAGCACACATACACATACACAGCCACCATACACATACACACAGCCACCATACACATACACAGCCACCACACATACACATACATACACAGCCACCACTATACACATACACACAGCCACCATACACACACACACACAGCCACCATATACACATACACAGCCACCATACACATACACAGCCACCACCATATACACATACACAGCCACCACCATACACATACACAGCCACTATACACATACACACACATACACAGCCACCATACACATACACAGCCACACACATACACATACACACAGCCACATACACATATACACAGCCACTATACACATACACAGCCACCATACACATACACACAGCCACCATACACATACACATACACATAGCCACCATACACATACACACCATACACATACACAGCCACCATACACATACACAGCCACCATACACATACACATACACACATACACATACACAGCCACCTATACACATACACAGCCACTACCACACACACACACACACAGCCACCATACACATACACAGCCACACATACACATACACAGCCACCACCATACACATACACAGCCACCATACACATACACAGCCACACATACACACATACACATATACACACACACACACAGCAGCCACTACACATACACAGCCACAGCCATATACACACATACACATACACACATACCATACACATACACACACACCACCACATACACATACACAGCCACTATACACATACACACCATACACATACACAGCCACTATACACATACACAGCCACCACCATACACAGCCACCATACACATACACAGCCATACATACACATACACAGCCACCATACACATACACAGCCACCACTACATACACATACACAGCCATACCATACAGCCACTATACATACACAGCCTCTATACACATACACAGCCACCACACATACACATACATAGCCACCATACACATATACACAGCCATACACCATACACATACACAGCCTCTATACACTATACATACACACATACACAGCCACCACCATACACATACACAGCCACCTACATACACATACACAGCCACCACATACATACACAGCCACTATACATATATACACATACCACCACACATACACATACACATACACATAGCCACCACCATACACATACACAGCCACATATACACATACCATACACAGCACAGCTCTATACACATACACAGCCTCTATACACATACACAGCCACCATACATACACACACATACACAGCCACACATACACACCATACACAGCCACCTATATACACATACACACCATACACATACACAGCCACCATACACACATACACATACACAGCCACCACCATATACACATACACAGCCACTATACACATACACAGCCACCACTATACACATACACAGCCACCATACACATACACAGCCACCACCACACACACACACACAGCCACCATACACATACACAGCCACCACCATACACACATACACAGCCACTATACACATACACAGCCACCATACACATACACAGCACAGCCACCATACACATACACAGCCACCATATACACATACACAGCCACCACCATACACATACACAGCCACCATACACATACACACAGCCACTATACACATACACAGCCACCATACACATACACACCACCACTCATACACATACACAGCCACCATACACATACACAGCCACTATACACATACACAGCCTCTATACACATACACAGCCACCATACACATACACAGCCACCATACACATACACAGCCACTATACACATACACAGCCACCAAACACATACACAGCCACCATACACATACACAGCCTCTATACACATACACAGCCACCATACACACACACCACTATACACATACACAGCCACCACACACACATACACAGCCACCGCCATCACAGCTACACACTCACAGCCACCATCACCACAGCTACACACTCACAGCCAACATCACCACAGGAACACACTCACAGCGATCATCACCACAGCTAAACACTCACAACCACCATAACCACAGCTACACACTCACAGTCACCATCACCGTAGCTGCACACTCAAAGCCACCACCATCACAGCTACACACTCACAGCCACCATCACAGCTACACACTCACAACCACCATCACCACAGCTAAACACTCACAACCACCATAACCACCGCTACACACTCACAGTCACCACCATCACAGCTACACACTCACAGCCACCGCCATCACAGCTACACACTCACAGCCGCCATCACCACAGGAACACTCACAGCCACCACCATCACCATAGCTACACACAGCCACCATAACACACAACCACAACAACTACTCACTCACAGTCACCATCACCGTAGCTGCACACTCACAGCCACCGTCACCACAGCTAAACACTCACAACCACCATAACCACCGCTACACACTCACAGTCACCACCATCACAGCTACACACTCACAGCCACCTTCACCACAGCTACACACTCACAGCCACCATCACCATAGCTACACACTCACAACCACCATCACCATAGCTACACACTCACAACCACCGCCATCACAGCTACACACTCACAGCCACCATACCCACAGCTACACACTCACAGCCACCATCACCACAGCTGCACACTCACAGCCACCATCACCACAGGTACACACACACACACACACACACACAGCCATCACCATAGCCACACACAGCCACCATAACACAGCTACACACACAGCCACCACAGCTACACACAGCACCACATCACCATATCTCCCGCCCCCCACACACACCACAGCTACACACACACAGCCACCACAGCTACACACAGCACCACATCACCATAGCTACACACAGCCACCATAACACAGCTACACACACAACCACCACAGCCACACACACACACACACACACACACACACACACACACACACACACACACACACACACACACACACAGAGCCACCACCATCACCATAGCCACCATAACACAGCTACACACACAGCCACCACAGCTACACATAGCACCACATCACCATAGCCCCCCCCACACACACCACCTAGCTACACACATACAACCACCACCAGATCTAAACACACACACAGCCACCCCATCAAACACTCACAGGCACACACAGCCACCACCACCACCTATGCCTCATCCACAGCCACCAGGACTGCCACAGAAGAAATGAACAATTCTTAAAGGCTATTTATTTATATTGTTTTGTTAGACGTTTTAAATCATTTTACAGGTTACAAATGGGCTGAAGGACTACATTTGCAGAGGATTGTTATGTGCAGATTGAACCCATTAAGATCATGTTTGCCTCTTGTGGCTGAAACCTTCTCTTCTGTAACGAGGTAAAGTTTAATATGTTCTTGTAGTTAATCATTGTTGTGTTTCAAGTGCTCATCTATCTCTGTGTACCCATCATGTTTTAATCCCGATAATTTCAATAAAATTAAGTTATCTATGCAAACAGGTTTTGACAGAAATTGATATGATCTCTTGACTAATCCAAACATGCCTGCAACCTCTTTGGGTCAAATACTGAGTATTTGTAGTTGGGAGATGTCATTTGAAAGGTTGCAGCAGTTTACCTGAAAAAAATGCTGAGTCATCGCTTCAGGTGGACAAAAAAATCAAAAACGTGACTTCCACTAAAATGGAAGTCGGACAACTGCTAGTTTAGACTGCAGACTGCAGGGGATGTACCCCTTTGATAAGTGTAAATTGGCACGGCTCCCTAGGCCGAAAGCTATGATTACACATTTCCATTTAGAAGTTTAGTATGTATTCAGAAAACATTTGAATATCAATGTTTACAGCATGTTGGGTTACAGAAATATTGTTTGACTTCTTTCAGAATTTACCAGCTTGCATTTTGTGACACAATCATAGAGAAGAACAAGCGTTGCACAATCCCTGTGTCCACACAGAATAATGATGGGTTTACTGTGCAGACTGAAATTTTGGAATCATTTTTCCCATTTGATCCTTACTTGCTTAACAGGTAAGTTTGAAATATGTAGCTGATTGTAAATATACTCAGCAGCAAAAAAACGTCAGTACAAATTCAAAATTAGATAGGCACTGTAATCAAATCACTACAGAAGCGGATCAAAAACATTTTTGTGTACAATATCATGGCACATCATTCAATAACTCAGCACAATTTCAAGACATTACGTGAACGTTTGCAGTCCATTCAGACTCTTGACTTTAGTTTCTAGTGTGATCACCACGAGCGGCAATAACTGCAGCACAGTGTCTATGCATGGAGTGGACCAATCGATTGATGAAGGCCATTGGCACCTGGAACCACACTCAGGAGCAATATTCTTGTTCTGCCATCTGCAGTTGATACGCAGTACCGACTCTCATCTGTAAACAGAACAGTTCTCCATTGCCTGCATCTCCAGTTTTGGTGTTGTAGGGCAAACTGTAGACATTCACGCCGATGATGAGGGGTGAGGATAGGTCCACGGTAAGGTCTATGGCAATGGAGGTTCCCGCAGTTAAGACGTCAGCGTACTGTATCAGTACTGATTAGTCTTCCGTGTGTTCCCACTGTCTGGCGTGCTGTTTCGGGATGCCTGAATGAAGGGATTCTGTACATGCTGTCGCACAAGATGGCGGTCTTGTTGTCTTGTGGTCACCCTTGGTCAGCCAGTACGGGGCGATCATTTGTGGTGTTGGTGGTCTGGAAACGTTGCTGCAGCCTGTAGATGGTCCGAACGTTGACCTGGAAGTGATTGGCAACGGCTTGTGGATTGTGGCCAGCTTTAACTCTTCCTAGCGCCTGGTTCCTCTGAGCTGTTGTGAGTCACGGCATCCTGCTGACATTGTAATGTGAATGTTTCAACCAGGTTTGGGGGGTGCATGTTATAGGGCTGGTCAGCACGTGCAGCATGAGTTGCATAAAAAACATGGAGAACACCGTACCATCTCCGAGATCAGGTTGCGTTTTTGAGACCATTTCCTGAGTTTGGGAAGGAATGTCTTTGATCAGGTAAAGTTGGAGATGTTGTCAGATATATACAATCAAAACATTAAATGAATTTACAGTAATCCGTTTCTGCAAAGGAAAATTCCAAACTGACGTTTCTTTTGCTGCTTAGTATATATAATTTCTTTCAGTTTTTAATAGACTATGGAAATGGTTTTGTACATGCTCTTAAATTCTCTGTTAATGTGTATTTGTTGTCTCTGAATCACCAGGAGCTGAAGCTGAAGGAGCTGAAATTCAGTATGTATGTTTCCCTTTATGATGGGTTAATACTTTGTTTGGTTTGTTTTATTTCAGTGTCACACCTTGGAATCTGTGCTGACAAGAACACCGCGCTCAGTGGTTGTCTTTGTTTTAAAAATGTTGGCCATATGTCCTGGGCTACAGTGCCATGACACTGCTTTTATGCTTTAACAATAATTCCAAGCTTTTAAACTTAACTGGTTTACAAGAGTTTACACTCAGTGAGTTCTAGCATGTTTTGAAATGTGACTTGTCAGATCATGACGTCATTCAGTACATCATAGTGAAAGCTTGTTCAGTACATCATAGCATGAGCTAGATGATAGGGAACAGGTCAAAAGGGCCACATGACAAAAGGGCCTCAAAACGGAAAAGTCAAAAGGGCCGCAAGAAAGTCAAAAGGGCCGCATAAAAAATGTCAAAATTGCCGCATCGAAAAGTCAAAAGGGCCCCATATAAAGAAAATAAAAACATCTTTTTTTAAAAGTGTATTATAGTGAAAGGTTATACATCTATACAATGTATACCTTATACATATTAGTTCTGTGTTGGTTTTTTGGCAATATTTGAAAGGAAATGATGATAAAGATGATTTTTTTCATCTAAGTAACAAAACACTTATCTTTTATAATTATGACAAATACTTTGACAGAGAAATAAACAATCTGTCTGTCTATGTCAACAAATGCCAAATTAGGTGGCAGGGTGGAACAACAGCACCCATGAAGGGATGGGTGCACACTAGGTCTTCATGAGATCACATTCAGTCTTCACATCACTCAACTGGTCCTGTTAGCCTCAGGCACAGACATTAAATTGATAAAATGGGTCTTTAACAATCTTAAATGTCCCATCTATAAACCAATGCTGTGCATGTGAATGTTGAGAGAGTTGAATCTCTGTGACAAATAGAAGGTGGTGCTTTTCCTTCACTGTGATGACACTGCATGGGAAACCATACACTTTACACAGTAGAGGGAAGTGATATCAAAAACAAGTCTGTCTATGATTTTATAGTCAAAAATTAACTTTGAGTCAGTCAATTGAGACATGTATGTCAATTGTAAGGTTTATTAACAATGAAAACAATACTCTTGAAATATTCTGACAGTATTCACAGAAGAGCAAAGAAAAAAAGACATCTTAGGGATTAGTGACAGCTTAAACTTCACATAAGCACTTACTGGTCAAGTTTCTGCACTGGTTTACATAGGCTCTGTGGGTGACATCTGCCGATACAAGTCTTGCCACTGCTGTTCTCAGCACAGCTCATCTCTGAAGTACAGGAAGTGTACTTCTTGGGTTGTGACGACATGAAAGGTGTTTATCCAGAATGGCTGGAATCAGCTGAGATGTGAACAAAAAAATTGTGTAATGTTTAGTAACGTCACCAAGTACCTTTGTTGGTTTCCTGTTCTGTCGACTGATGAAGATCCGTGTGAGATCTCTGGGAAACCTCTGTATCTCTGCATCTCATCTATGTGTGTGACTAGTTGTATCATCAACTTGCATATGATTTAAGGTGCTTAATGCCCCAACCCATGATCCACTTCACTTTCCTCCCTTCTCAATAATTTCTGATTAAACATTGTTTCATTAACCTGGAACTCACAGATAGTGCTGTTCTATCTGACTTTACTATGTGTCTCCTTCTGTTGTTCTTGCTTCTGGGAAACTTTCTTTCAGGATGGAATCAAACTCTGTTACCATTATTCCATAGAAAAAGTTTGAACTGAGATCCATTATTGTAAACAACCCCTTCAGGAAGGCTGTGTGATGCAAACAGATCTCTCAGCACCTTTGTTGTTCTGGTTGCTGTCATGGTCGATACAATGATAGCTTCTACCCACTTTGTGCAACTATCCACTATCACCAAAACCAAAACCTGTAGTCAATGTGGATTCAAGCTCTTCAAGGATAACACCATGGTTGTAATGGTGCAACTGGTGGATCAGGCTGTAGAATGTGACAGATCTCACAACTGTGAGCAGTACTCTCCATACTCTTGTTGGACTGGAGTTCACTGTCTTCCATGTGATTTGGCCAGCCCTGTAGGTATACTGTTATGCTCTTGAAAGAACTCCATTTTTCTTCTAGTGACTTGCAATATCTGATTTCTGAGGATAAATGCCCATCTTTGAGTCTTGCTGTCGCCAGAGTAGGAATTCCTGTCAGTGGCTTGTTGTCCATTATCAATGTGAAGTTCCTTCTTTATAAATATTTATGAAACTTTTTTCTTAATGCCAAACATAATGGCTAAGGCTTCTTTTTCTAGCTGTTCATAGTTAGTCTCTGAAATTATCAGTGTTCTTTATGGATAAATCACTGGTGGTTCCAAACTATCTTCCATAATGTGTGATATCACATGCCTGTTCTGTAGGCAGAGGCACCACACGTTTTAGTAAGTGTATGATGAGCGTCATAATGGACCAAGAAACTATGAGTTTATAGTTAGGCTATACACTTCTTGAAACTTCCCGTAGTAATTCATGAATGATCTCCACTCCAATATATTCTTTGGTCTGGGAGTCTCCACAATGGCCTTGATCCTGAAGAATGAAGATAATATTATGGATATACAACTTCTTTATTCTGTGAAAGGCGACGTTTGGACACAGGTTCTAATGTCGTTGTCAAGCAAGTCTATGTCGAAACGTCGCCTTTCACAGAATAAAGAAGTTGTATATCCATAATATTATCTCCATTCTAACATCACCACAACTTCTAAAAAGCCCATCAAAAAAGGCCTTTATCTTGTCATCAAGAGGATGAATACCATCAGCATCAAAATGGTGCCCAAGGCCTTCCTTGGAACAAGTAATAAATGTGCACTTGTTCAGCTAGTCTTCCAAGGATTGTATCCACTAAGACGAGTTGTTGAGCTTCCTCATCTTTACCCATCAGGATATCATCCAGCAAAACTCCAATCCCATCTATTCCCTGGAATATCTGTTTAATAAGGCATTGGAACATTGCAGGAGCAGTGGAAACTGTGAATGATGACTGTTGATACTCATACAAGCTTTTATGAGTATTTATAACCAGCAGATGTTTAGAGTCCTCTGACAGTTCAATTTGGAATTTTTAAAATTTGTATTTTTCCTTGGACTTTGATATTGGTGTGTACCTGACATAGAAGTACAAAGTTGCGTATCCCAGTTCCATGTTATTGTTTCGATAGCTCAATAACTACTGTTGGCTACAGACAGACAGATTAGCAGATATTCACTCATCAAGTTGGACTTTAAGTAACTGTCAGATGATTTGTTCTTTCAAATTTGTAGGGGCTAGGGATTTGTCTTCTTCTGATGACTGTTATTAAAGATACCATTTACTTCCATATTATTCATTACTATATAACAAATATACTTCTAATGTACAGTGTGGCTGGGATAGTGATAATGCTGTTCACATTCCAACAAATCTAGAGAAGGGAGAACCAAGCATGTGACGAGATGCATTGATACAGTGCATCAAATGTTCCCCACCCAGTAATCCCACATACAAAAATAAGTGAAACCAAAGCAGTGAACCATGAGCTGTTTAAAGTTATAAATGGTAGTTGTTAAAAAATAAAGAATAATAATATGAAATGGCATGACTCATTCATTATGTACTGTGAACTAATGTAAAATATAACACTAATTTTGAATAAATAATAATATAAGAAAATGTATTGTTGATAATAATAATAATAGGTTACAGAAATGCATGGAAGGTAATATGAAAATACAAAACCTGTGTTCAGTTCCCCAATTTGGGTATATTTTCCCTAAACGCTTGATTTTCATATAACAATGTCACCGACAATCGGTTGAAACATGTAGATGAAATGACTATCACTTCATTGTACACACTCTAAGCTTTGATAAGCCAAAATGGTGCTACCCCCATTGAAACTCCAAATACTCAAGTCTACTGGATTAATTTTCTCCATTGTTAAGAAATTCTAAGACAAACTTTATTTTGATACAACATGAATTCATAAGCCAAGACAACTGATTTCTTCTGGTTTTGACAGTTATCTGTAATGGAGCTGTCTGATTTGTCCTATACTGTTAATGCTTGCTTGTTATTTGCCTGTTGAAGGTCTGGAGAACTAATCAGGCCTCTGTACAGGGAATACACTGGTGGTGCTGTGTCCACTCTTCATGAGAACCAAGATATGCAGGTAAATAAATACACCAGCTTGTTGTCTGTTAAGACATGAGAACAATCATACACGGCAATGCTATTTATGGTTATTGTTGAATAAAAAGTCTTTTGTAAGTATAAACATCAAAACTAGGAAAAGGTATCACAAATGTTCTGAGAACTTAAAAATGTTTTTGTTTATAAATGTTTATATCCAGTTAAAGGACAAATAAACTTTTGCTTTTTTTTTTTACTCTTTTAACCATTACATCTAAAAGACGTGTGGTTAGTCTTAAGCGGAACACCAAATTTGTTCTTAAAAAACTTGTGGTTAATTAATACCGAGTGATTAAAAGTTGCCAAAAAGTCGCCTGCTTCACTTTCGCCCGCCAACGAAACCACAGAGATGTTACATAACTTTGTCGCCAGAGCACTGCAGCGAACCGGAAGTGACGTCCTGTGAGAAAGGGTTTTCAGTTAGTTGGATATAAATTGTGTAACAAGCTCGTCATTTTGATGATTTCTCGACATCAACGAAGACATACCGAATCGTTGCGTTGTCGTCAATTGTTCCTAGGGGTTGGGCGATTGGTGTCACCATGCACAGATTTCCACAGGACCCTGCAGTTCGTGCTAAATGGGTTATGTTTGTGAGTGCGAAGCGAGCGTTGTAGAAGCCTGGAACGATATCTTACTTGTGTTCAGATCACTTCACGGAAGTTAAAGAATCAAAACTACTTACTAGTTGTAGTAAAATATGTATATGATTGATGACCAAAAAGATTTTCCATGACACAACTTGTAACATAACGATTTCTTCCTTGGAAGCGAGGTTGTGGTCGAAGTGACATTAATATTGTAAGTAGTATTATATTGACACCCACCTTGCTTCCACGAGAGAAATTATGTTATAAGCTATGGTATTTTGTAACTTGGTGAAAACAAACCTAAATAGCATTTATTCTCAGACTGGCGGATGTTCGTGACAGGGTGCCGCCATTTTTAGAAATCGTGAAGTCACGGGCTAAAGTCTGTTAGAATTAATGAGATTACGGTTTGTTTTCATCAAGTTAGAAAATCAAAACTACTTTCTACTCGTGGTTAAATATGTATTTGAATCATGACCAAAAGGATTTTGCATGACAACTTATAACATAACGATTTCTTCCACGGAAGCGAGGTGGGGGTCGTAGTGACAATACTGCGCCGATAAATTTCTTGTTACATGCATTCACGTGGTTGCCGCCCACTCACCAGTATGTAGATACTTGTCAATGTACGTCTTTATATTTGGTCTTATAATCCTAATTAGTTTATTATCATACTTGTATGCATTTTGAAACTTAATAAAAAGCAGGCGATCTGCTGATACTTATAGTGAATTTTTATAACAGGACTGTAATATCTAGACATTTTATAGTTTGCCAATGTGAATCATAATTCGCACACACACCCTAGTGTATGTTGTCTGTCTCATTACACTTCACGGCAAAAACAATGATTCTGTTGAATGCTACAACAAATGAATAAAAACAAAATGCAAATATTAAAATTAAAACAGATTTAAGTTAGAGGAACAATGTCAGGCTATTACCTTGTTCGAGGAGTGTCTCCATCAATATCCACAAAAACGAGTGATATGCCATTCATTAGACTAACAACTAGTCTCTGAAATGAACATATTTTACTGAAAAAAGTTCATAGTAAAAAAAATAAAATATAATGAAAAGGAGCCCTGAGACTTTCTTCATTTTCAGAGATTAAACAAATCTGCAGAGGGATAATTTCTTGGAATTTCACAACATGTACAAAGATTCTTATCACCCATTACTGCTTTAATTGAGTGTGAAAGGAATATTTACTGCCCCCACCGCCTCCCAGTCCTACTGCCAGTGGTGTGGGCCGATTTGGGGTAATGAGTATCAAGTGTCGCCAAATCTATTTTGAGAGCAAGCAGGGATACCAGCTAAGGGTAGCATCTCTTGATATTCCTATGGCTGGACAACTGGATCTCACAAAAAAAATTCCAAAGTTATTTATATTCTCCAAAATCCAAAGGTTGTGTCTGCCCTATATGTGGAAGTTTAATTGATGTCGCATATGTATATAATGTAACAAGCAGAAAAAGTCATCAATATCCCCCGTAATGGCAAAATACTCTTCATGTATATGTCAGTTAGTTATGACTATGTCAAATGTTTTGGTGTGTGTTACAGTGAGTGAGTTTAGTTTTATGCCACACTCAGCAATATTCCAGCTGTCTGTAAATAATAGAATCTGGACCAGATAATCCAGTGATCAACAGCATGAGAATCAATCTACACAAATGGGATGCAATGATATGTGTCAACAAAGTCTGCGACTATATTACAAAGTGGAAGGAGAGTATTGAAAGGTTTTTAAGTTCTGCTCCGGAAAAGAGCACTACCACCAATTTCAGTCAAAGTCAAACTCGTTGCCATGGAAACACAAAATAGTTTTATTCAGAAATCCAAAACTACCAAAAGGCACCAGTATATCACCAGACCTATCTATGTGCCAAGTTTGGTGAAGAAATATTCAATGGTTTTAAAGGTCTATTCTGGACAAGATGACATCCTCATAGCCACAGCCTCCATGGAAAGTTACGTTTTCATGGAAACCGGAAAAATAACATTCATATCTGAGTCTAAACCCCAAAAGGCACATCTAGGGATCATACTTGACATATGTTCAAAGTTTGATGAGGCTTGCATGTATAGTTTGGGAGATCTGCTCCGGACAGGATGACATCCTCATGACATCCTCATAGACCGTATGACGCGGTCGGGGATCGAACCCGCGACCTTCCGCTCCCCGGGCGGACACTCTAACCACTACATCACGGAGGCGGTCGCAACAAGTTTGATATAGACTGAAATTGGTGATAGTGCTCCTTTCTGGAGCAGAACTTTAAAAACCTTTAAATACTCCCCTTCCACTTTTCTATATACACACCTAAATATTTGACATAATCATAACTCGTAGACATAATCATGAAGAGTATTTTGCCATTGCGGGGGATATTGATGACTTTGTCTTCTTGTTATCCCCCGCAACGCATTTTGCGGGGGATATTAAAATGGACTCCATTCGTGCGTCCGTCCGTCCGTGCACATTTGTCTTTTCCGGAGCAGAACTCTAAAACCGGTCAATATTTCTTCACCAAACTTGGCACATACATGGATCTGGTGGTGTACTGGTGCCTTTTGGTAGTTTTGGAATTCTGAATTAAATATTTTTTGCGTTTCAATGGCAACAGGTTTGACTAAAACTGAAATTAGTGGTAGTGCTCTTTTCCGGAGCAGAACTCTAAAACCGTTCCCTATTTCTTCACCAAACTTAGCACATAGGTAGATCTAGTGGTGTACTGGTGCCTTTTGGTAGTTTTGGAATTCTGAATTAAATATTTTTGGCGTTTCCATGGCAACAAGTTAGACTTAGACTGAAATTTGTGGTTGTGCTCTTTTCCGGAGCAGAACTCTAAAACCATTCACTATTTCTTCACCAAACTTGGCTCATAGATTGGTCTGGTGATGTACTGGTGCCTTTTGGTAGTTTTGGAAGTCTGAATCAAATATTTTTGGCATTTCCATGGCAACAAGTTTGACTAAAACTTAAATTAGTGTAGTGTTCTTTTCCGGAGCAGTACCCTAAAACCGTTCAATGTTTCTTCACCAAACTTGGCACATAGATAGATCTAGTGGTGTACTGGTGCCTTTTGGTAGTTTTGGATTCCTGAATAAAATAGTTTTGGCATTTCCATGGCAACAAGTTTGATTTAGACTGAAATTGGTGATAGTGCTCCTTTCTGGAGCAGAACTTTAAAAACCTTTCAATACTCTCCTTCCACTTTTCTATATACACACCTAAATATTTGACATAATCATAACTCGTAGACATAATCATGAAGAGTATTTTGCCATTGCGGGGGATATCGATGACTTTGTCTTCTTGTTTCTACTGACTTGTCTGAAAAGTGAGAATTTCGAATGTCAGTGATTTTCCACTCCTGGATGGAGAACAACAACACATCTTCACCACTTAAGTATTTGTCAAACATTGCATTCTGATTTGGACAATTGCTATGTATATTTGCTTTCATCCTCATCAAAGTTCCAATTCTTTTTTACCCTGAGATGGAAGACTTGTGTGGGCTTTCTTGGATATATTTGCTTCAGGGTCTGTATGACAGACTAGCCATTTATCTGCAGCTGTTCCAAGTGTTGTGTCTTTTAACATGCTAATATGCGAAAAAGTGATATATCGTTTCAGGTTTTCCACATTGGTGTAAAGTCTCATTGGTCACCCAAGTTAGCACACCTGGCAACTAATTGCATAATGTCCGCCAAAAAGTAATTTAATCCTTTGATCGATGTTTATAATGTTGAATATTTACTCCAGACACAAGAAATGCCAAATGGGAACCTTTTTTGTGTAATCTAAGTGGTGTTACCACTAATTATACCTGTTATAAATTCATTAACTGACCATCAAGTGAATGATGACAAATAACGGTTACGGCCTAATCCGTCAAATTTTGAACAGTCAGCAGTGCCAATCCGTCGAATCATGCTTGAGTGGTTCTGTGCTAATCGGTCGAATTTCAGACTGTGTTAACACACTGGGAGAGACCAAGTTCATTAATTAAGGGGTCGGCTTGTATTGGATTAGACTACATGTTTTCTTAAATAGTTTCGCTTCCACTGTGTGCAAAGCTTAGTGTCAGCAAACTTACTTGTCCATTTGACAATATCGTCAACAATTTCAGGACAGACATACAAAGTGAAGGCTTCCACTGGAATTTGATTGGTGACTTTTCCATTCAGCTGGCGAATAATATTTCTCTGAGGCGTTGGAGCTAATGGCATTGGGTCCTTGAACCACTGTCCTCCATCACAGCTGTCATACCTGTCAGGAGCTTGTCTTTGTACATCAGTCTCATTGTCAGAGTTGGAAGTAGCGTCATCCTCTAGGTCACAGTCGGATTCTGTGCTTTCAGATCCTTCAGATGGTTGATAATCTTCGTGGAAAAAAGGTTAATGAATCAGATTGCCTTGAGCAATTTTAAATGCTGGTCAAAGATATTATATATATACATTAGTTATAGCCTTGGGGTCCAATTGGACCCCACTCCATAAGACAAGGGTTAATGCATCAATTTCAATTTTCTACAAAAGTACAAAAATAAAGAGAGTCCAAACATATATTTATTGCATCAATTTCTCATTGTATCATATGAGTAGGTAAAGATAAGTACAAAAGTACAAAAAATAAAGAGTCAAACTATCCATCACCCCTTGCATCTTTTTCTTGGTATGATCCAGTGTTTGGATAACTAATTAATAGATAAGATCACAGTGCTCATCCTGTCGAATGCATTTTACTACTTTGAAATCAGAAATTCGACGGATCGGTACGCGACCCAAATAACATGTGTAGGTTTATACCACATGCTGTATTGCATGCAATTTTAATTGCATGTGAAAACTTATGGGCCAACACTGTTTTGAGATTACGAGCAGAACATCATTGTTGCATAAGAAAATAAGAAATACATATAAGCATTTGCTGTGTTCTAAAACTGTATGTACCTATTTACCTAAGTAAATTTTCAGACTCTTTTAGCAATGGCAAAGTAGGGTTGTTTAGTTTACGGATTCAAATAAATCAAATGTCAATTTTTAATATCATACGTAATAGATGTCATATTTTTACATGATATTATTAAATATTGAGGTAAAAAAAACACAGAAATGGATCAATTTGGATCAGTCATTATACCATCCAGGCATTAGGAAACCTGAAAAAGCCCACACTGCTTTGATACTTTATTGCAATAAGACAAGAACTACCAGGGATATTTTCAAATAACTGCATCTGATGGGCATCCACCCTTCCTAATGTCGCACTGTTTAGGTTGAAGAAATATTCGTAACTGTGATGAGCGAGGCTGATCATCGTTTTCACTATCACCAGCGTCTGGCTCGAAGAAATAAGGCCTAGCGACACCAAGTGATTTTGACAGAATCGTCTATGAAAACAAGTTGTAACTTGCAAACTAGGCAAAGCAGGAGACAAAATTAAATCGCAGTAGATTGTGAGAACATATAGCTTTCATTTTTCACAGCAGTTGTCACGATTTCAGGTTATACAAACTTGTAAACAAGATAATTTACCCCCGAAATGTACATGATTTCTACATCGGCCCTCATATCTATTCCTCACATTACGTCACAGAGACGCACTGCTCTGATTGGTTGAAATTTCGTTCACGGGTGAGAATTGTGCATTGTTGTCAAAAAGGTCGTTTTAAGTTAATTAAAGATCGAAATATATAACGATGCCAATCAGTGATTTATGTATTTGTACCCCCCTAGAGTATATGTGATCTTTAAGAGGAAACATAAATCTGTTTTAGATGGGATCAACCTGAGGGTCACATGACACCATTATCATTATTATTATCAGAATCTTGGAGGGACTTTGCTGTTGTGTTGCTGGTGGCCCTAAATGGATTTTACGAAATAGCTAGTTTCATGCAGCTTCAACAATTTAGATGTTAAGTAACTCAATAAAAGTCACCATCTGTACCTGTGGTACTCTGTTTTTTGTATTGCCATTTATGATTGTCATGTTATGTTATTTCATGTCAACAGAACCCAGTTATTAGAACAACCCCTTCTGTTACAGACTGAAGATGATGACTTCCTCACAGAAACGGAAAACAAGGTTGGCCCATCAGTTACGCCAGGGCCTCACTTAGGATTTAGCTGGAAACCACCTGCTAGTACAGACTTCCTAAATTATGGCACATCACCTGGTTTCAAACATGTTTAGATATCCCATTCACTGTTTAAGGCAAACTGTAAGATACATATATATATATATCATGTTGTCATTGATTATGTGTCATAAAGGAGGTACAATACCTGTGTTGGTAATATGTCTCCCAGATATTCCTACAGTGATGCAATCAAGTGCTCAAATCATCTTGTACATAAGAATGTTATCATGTATAACTCTTTTACAGCCCAGAGATGAGTCATGTCAAGCTCATCCTCAAGGTTTTACTCTTTACTGAAGAAGGATTAAATGATGGTCATGAAATGTTTGTACATTTTACCCTATCAGCAAGACTGAGACCTGGAACACTCATATATATTAGGTCCATTGAAAATGTATGCCATTTGCCATTTTTGCTGAAGTAAAAGTATTTAAGTCATGTGCATTTGAATCCATTTTTTCAGTGAGTACCACATGTCACATTGTTTTCAAGGACATTTTTCATTGTCTAAACACTCTGAATGCAGTTACTTATGGTGAATGCAGGAGTTTCCCACAATATTTTGAAAGCAAAAGACCATGTGTATTGAGGGCAGTGGAAGTTACATAAGCTTGGTTAGATGGCATGTGAGGCAATGTTGGTGGAAGCAGAAGACCTTGTGTATTGAGGGCAGTGGAAGTTACTTAAGCTTGGTTAGATGGCAAGTGAGGCAATGTTGGTGGAAGCAGAAGACCATGTGTATTGAGGGCAGTGGAAGTTACATAAGCTTGGTTAGATGGCATGTGAGGCAATGTTGGTGGAAGCAGAAGACCTTGTGTATTGAGGGCAGTGGAAGTTACTTAAGCTTGGTTAGATGGCAAGTGAGGCAATGTTGGTGGAAGCAGAAGACCATGTGTATTGAGGGCAGTGGAAGTTACATAAGCTTGGTTAGATGGCATGTGAGGCAATGTTGGTGGAAGCAGAAGACCATGTGTATTGAGGGCAGTGGAAGTTACATAAGCTTGGTTAGATGGCATGTGAGGCAATGTTGGTGGAAGCAGAAGACCATGTGTATTGAGGGCAGTGGAAGTTACTTAAGCTTGGTTAGATGGCATGTGAGGCAATGTTGGTGGAAGCAGAAGACCATGTGTATTGAGGGCAGTGGAAGTTACATAAGCTTGGTTAGATGACATGTGAGGCAATGTTGGTGGAAGCAGAAGACCATGTGTATTGAGGGCAGTGGAAGTTACTTAAGCTTGGTTAGATGGCATGTGAGGCAATGTTGGTGGAAGCAGAAGACCTTGTGTATTGAGGGCAGTGGAAGTTACATAAACTTGGTTAGATGGCATGTGAGGCAATGTTGGTGGAAGCAGAAGACCATGTGTATTGAGGGCAGTGGAAGTTACATAAGCTTGGTTAGATGGCATGTGAGGCAATGTTGGTGGAAGCAGAAGACCATGTGTATTGAGGGCAGTGGAAGTTACTTAAGCTTGGTTAGATGGCAGGTGAGGCAATGTTGGTGGAAGCAGAAGACCATGGGTATTGAGGGCAGTGGAAGTTACATAAGCTTGGTTAGATGACATGTGAGGCAATGTTGGTGGAAGCAGAAGGAAACGTATACATGGGAATTCAGTTCACGATGGAATACAACCAGAGACAAAAAAAGCTAGAGAAATGAATTGACATAATAATGCAGCCCATTAAAATTTTACTTGAATTAATAAAGTTACATGTAACCAGTTTGTAATTTAGCATTGTCACCTTCAGCAACTGTTTTGACCGCCATGGACAGTGATGAATACTTACGTTTATCCAATACAGATACCCTATTTCTGATGACTGACCACCACGAGAAGATGAACATAGGTTGGTAGGTCGGCTTATGTACAGAACATACCATTTTGATATGGATTTTAAGGGACAAGTTGGGACCTCTGCTTATCTACAGTAATACTGCCTCAAGCAGTAGAATATTCAGGCTTGTGAATTAGTCATTTGTTAATATTTACTCCAAGTGGGAAATTGTTTTAAAAAACCAAGAGATCGTGGTCGACAACTGTTTCGTGAATATAGAGAACCTGTACGACAACGCCTGCGCTTTCTGGAGCATACGGTACGCACTCCTCGCCAGCATATTGGTGGACCATTGTCCGTGCAAGGAGAAAGAGTCTTGCATCTTCCGGCTGCTATCGGGGGAAGCAGAGGTACAACAGGGACGGGGCAATATTTGGCCTACCCCTTTGCCCAACTACGGCGGGACCAAGGATATGGAAGTAGCACCCCCTCCGTGCAGCGAACGCCGAAAAGCCGCGAATGTCCCAGAAGGAGTCTACACGTGCAAAAAGTTTGCTGTAGCGAGATACGAAGGGAAGAACCGGCTGTTGCTGCTACTCGATTCGCCGACTGGGGAAATGATTCCAGTCTACGGCTACAAGATACGAGAAACGATTCGGGCCGCCGGTGGAATAGAATGCCTACGGTTGGTGCGGGAACCGTTTCTGTGCAGGCTCGGCAAAATCTGTCGCTCGCCTATATCGAAAAAGAAAGACGATAGAGAATTCGGTTGCTGCTTCCAGACCTTGGGCGAGAATAGGTTCTATGGGCCCTTCCAGACACTGCAGGGCTAGGGAGAGTAGCACCTTCGACAGCTCGCCTAGTATTTTTGCAGATGCACAGTCGCGGGCTGGGGGTTGCAAAGGACGAATGGAGTCGTACACTTGTCGGCTCGTGTGGAGCAAACTGCGGCGATGTCGGCTCGTGTGGAGCAAACCACGAATACGTTGCCGGCTCGTGTGGAGCAAACCACGAATTTGTTGGTCGACATCTTGTCGATGCTGGACAAGGATGACGAGGAAGAACTCCGGGAGGAAATAGAAAGCGTCGAGGAGGAACAAGAAGAGACCCGTCTAGATATCCAGAAGGTGCGGCAGATGCTAGAAACAGCCCAAAGGTTGGCCTACCTTTCTATAGCCGCCATGTTTCTCTGGAAGGTCGTCCACAAGACCTGGAAGCACAGCAAACCAGTTTCCCCCTGCGTGCACCCCCTCCACACACCGACCGAGAAGGTAGAAACGCCCAAGACCAAACGTGGCGATCCCTTCCATATGGAGTAGAGTGTGGAATGCAGCCTTTTTTGGGGAAAAAAAATATTGTAGTAGGGTATACGAACCATGCGGGTTTTTTGTTGGTTTTTTTTCGTCAGGGGCGTGTGCCCTACTTTCCGTACCACGAATTCCACGAAAAGCAGTTGGAATATGAAAACGGGCCTAGACAAGTGTACGACTCCATTCGTCCTTTGCAACCCCCAGCCCGCGACTGTGCATCTGCAAAAATACTAGGCAAGCTGTCGATGGGGCTACTCTCCCTAGCCCTGCGGTGTCTGGAAGGGCCCATAGAACCTATTCTCGCCCAAGGTCTGGAAGCAGCAACTCGAATTCTCTATCGTCTTTCTTTTTCGATATAGGCGAGCGACAGATTTTGCCGAGCCTGCACAGAAACGGTTCCTGCACCAACCGTAGGCATTCTATTCCACCGGCGGCCCGAATCGTTTCTCGTATCTTGTAGCCGTAGACTGGAATCATTTCCCCAGTCGGCGAATCGAGTAGCAGCAACAGCCGGTTCTTCCCTTCGTATCTCGCTACAGCAAACTTTTTGCACGTGTAGACTCCTTCTGGGACGTTCGCGTCTTTTCGGTGTTCTCTGCACGGAGGGGGTGCTACTTCCATATCCTTGGTCCCGCCGTAGTTGGGCAAAGGGGTAGGCCAAATATTGCGCCTGTGGTACCTCTGCTTCTCCCGATAGCAGCCGGAAGATGCAAGACTCTTTCTCCTTGCACGGACAATGGTCCACCAATTTGCTGGCGAGGAGTGCGTACCGTATGCTCCAGAAAGCACTGGCTTTGTCGTACAGGTTCTCTATATTCACGAAACAGTTGTCGACCACGATCTCTTCTGGAACCTCGAGTGGAAGTCGCTCCTGGGGTGTGTAGTCTATCGCTTTCTTTCCCCAGAGAACGCATTTCTTGCTGTCGACGCAATGGCCGATGGCACCACACTTGCACGTAGAGTTGTCGGGGCCAAAGAGAGCAGGCAGTTCCAATAGAGTGGCGAGGCAGTCGGTGCATCGGTTGTGTCTGTCCTTGGGGCCCGGATAGCAGTCGTCGGCGAGAATGATTCGGAGTTTGCCCGCCGAGGGTCGAAATTGGTGGGGTGGGTAGATGTAGACGAAATCGTCTATTTTGCCGGCTTCTACTAGTGGGCGAAAGCACAGCAAATAGAGTTCGAGAAACTGGCATGGGATCTGGTAGCGTTCGTAGAAGGTGTGTCCCAATTGCTCCAGGATTTGTTTCTCTCGGTCGGAAAGCAACATGGGGCGACACTTCTGCAGCAGGGCCTCAAAGTCTTCGGCCATGTCGGGAGTTGCCGTCGTCTGGGGCTCGGGGTCTATACCACCTCGGATTCACGTGTATCGGGCTTGCGATATGTGGTACTTCCTCTTTGCTTTCCGAAGGGACAAACGACCAGATCGGATCTCGGTATAGGCTTCGCGCGAGAGCTTGGTTCCTGGCATGTTTCTATATCCATGCACCCACATACCTCTAATTAGGAGTGCACTTCATTGGGAGCAGCCGAAAGCGGTCTTGTCGAAGGGTTTGGGCAAACACTCATTTTTTTACTAGGCTGGTAGCAGAATTAGCCCGTATGGAAGCTTCTAAGCAAAGGTGTACCCACACGTCTTTTTCTCACCATTCTATATACTACTACAACAGATTGCACTGAACCTAAAAGATATCTTCGGAGGGTTATTGAAAGACTTCCTTTCACAACATTAGGTGTTTTGAAATAGTCAAGACTGTGACTATTTAAATCTTGATTTAAGTAATATCAAATTATAAATACATGTGGCCCCTTTTTGGATTGCATTAAGATAGCTGCCCTTTGTAGCCATGTGTAATTATGTGCTCAAAGAAAGCACCATTTTCAAAGAACTTTACCGTAGTTGTCATGCTAGATGAACCTCCTGCGATTTGAAATTACATGTAGTCCCACTGTAAATAAGATATTCAAAATTTAAAAACCTGGTGCTTAAGTGCAATTTTAAAAATTATATCTAATCTACAGTGGGACCACATTAGATTAAAAAAACGGGGTTTATCTTTTACATTCTGAACTGATCACTCTATTATATAGGTTTTCTGTTACATTTATAACACAAATGTCAAACTAGTGGGTCTTACTGTGTATATTTCATCTTTACATACTTGCGATTGTAACCCAAATGCACATGTATAAGGGTCACAGCTCTTTTGTAAAATAAATATTCATGTATGTTTGACCTTCAGATTGCTCTTCAGGCAGTCTTGTATGTGTTATTTTGTTGTATAGCAGTTATCAAACATTCATGTCATATCTAACAAGCCGTTAACGCTTACCAGACAGCTGGTTAGCCTTATGGTTAAA